TGCAAGCACTTTCCCGAGATTATCGCATCTGAATTTATTAAACAAGTTCTCAAGTGTTAGATGCTGAATCTCAGCAACTAAAGAAAGAGCATTTGTTAGACTTGAAGGGATTTGAAAACTCAAACACACAGGCAAAACCTGGCTCATCACCAAAAAACCCCCCAAGCCCCAAACTCACTGCCATTGAGTCAATTCTACTGCATAGTGACCCTATAGGATAGAGTAGAACTGCCCCTGTTAGTTTCTGAGACTGGAACTCTTTACAAGTGTTAGAAAACCTGGTCTTTCTCCTGGAAGCTGCCTGGTGGTTTTGAACTGCAGTTAGCAGCCGAACGAGTGGCCACTACATCTTCAGGGCTCCTACCACCAGTTGTTATTAAAAACGTTCACTGGAGCCCAGCTGCAACTATTTCTTGATGTCTTTCCTATGGTTTCATTCAGAGTACAACCTCAAAGCTCAGTAGTTTCCCCAACAACCAAACGGTCCAAGAAGCCTAAAGCATTTGTAGCCTCACCATTTGTATAAAATTATTAATCGATCTAGAGAGTAAAATTACTTTGATAGCTTCCAATTTGGGTTGTACCCCTCACCTTAGACAAGAAGACTTGGCAAATCAATATATGAAGAAATAAAGTACCTACTGTGGAGCCCACATAAACGATAATGAACCTTAAGTCATAAAGGTTAGTAATCCTAATACCACAGATTCTACCAAGCTGTAAATCTAGTAAATAAAATCCCAAACCAAACTCCCTGCCATCAAGTTAATTTCAGGTCACAGTGACCCAATTGGACAGAATAGAGCTACCCCTCTGGTTTTCTGATGCTGCAACTCTTTATGGGAGTAGAACACCTCCTCTTTTTCTCTTGGACCACCTCGTGGTTTTAAACTACTGACCTTGTAGTTTGTAGCCCAAAATCTAAGACAATACACCACAAGGGCTCCTATAATTTGAAAAATAGAGTAGACTAACCTCTAGAGTGGTCCCCACCCACCCACCCATTAACTCTGAGGCAAGTAGTATAAGCAAAAGAGTAGGAAGGATTTATTCAGTCTGTGCCCTTGACATAGGTTCTATCAGACTTGCTAGTAATGTAACTCCTCATGAAATATTGGGTAGAAACTTCCAGATTTAGCCAAGTGTTTTTGAAATACACCATCACCGGCACGTCTTATATGAAATCTAATATTGAAATCTAGTGCTGATTACTGTTACCATGGTCATCTCTCCTTTATCTGAATTGCAAACCATCATTTAGTATATATGACTTTCTTGCCACTCAAGATTTAGCCTTCGAATGATATCCTAGATGCTCTCTCTATGTGTCTGCATTGAGGTTACAAACTCATTGAGAGCAGGGATTCACTTTGTCCACACCTTTTGGGGTTCAGTTGGCTTGAACCACCTACTATGCATTTTGCATCACCACCAAATGAAGAAAGGATCCATCAGTTGATGAGCTGACTAAAAGGATAAGTGAATGAACTGGTTGGTTAACAACAGGTACAATTTCTTAATGACCAGCTTGTCATCTCTCTGTTGAGTGCTATATAGAAATTGGCTCTGATCCTCTCCGCACCATGAAAGGTGTCTGTTTATAGCCCTCTGGGCTAGATGGTAAGTCGAGCTTCAGAACTTGGGAGTGACAGGAACTAGAGGGAGCTGACCATGACTTGAGCTTCTCTCTGTTTAGGTATAGGAAGGTGGTTTCCAATAACTGCACGGATGGAGTAAGGGAACAGTACACCGCCAAACCCCAGAAGTGTCCTGGGAAGGCTCCACGGGGACTCCGCATTGTCACTTCCGATGGAAAGCTAACTGCTGAGCAAGGACACAATGTGACTCTCATGGTGCAACTGGAGGAGGTAGGGCGGGCTCCCCGCTTACCCTGGGAAGAACCCATTTTCCGGAAGACGTTGTGATTCTGTTGATCTGTTGCTCTAACCATTCTCAATGTTAAATACTAAGTATTTTTTGAAATTGTCTTCTATTTTTAATTTCTGTTTTTGATGTTGTTGCTCATGTTATTGTTTCCAATTCCCTGATGACACGTTTCTACAATTATTTTCTTTTCCTACCAGCCATACTTTCCTTTGATTTCAGGCTTTTTACCTCACAGAGTTCAGTTTGGATTTAACCTTGTCTTCTGAGAAGCTTTAGCAAAATGGTCTTCTTTGGTTTTTAAGAATAGATGAATGGTATTCTTGAAGTGAGCTTATCACACAAACTTAATGATGATACGATGTGAATCCTCCATTTTTTAGATGAAATCTTGGCTCTCCTTTTCCAGTGGTGGTGACATGCTGGTCATGTCCAGAGGACTGAGGCCAATGTGAACTTAATTGAACACAAGTTCTTGGGCAACTGACAGCTCCTATATTTTGCAGCCTCCTAAGGATAGCACCATGAGGAGCCACAATTACTCACCAAGTTATGTTGCCTGCAATCTCTGATTATGTAGCTGCTACATAAAATGGCATATAGTGTACCTTTAGAAAGTACATAGCATTTTTTTGGTCATTTGGTGAAAAAGGAGGATGTCCCTGAAGAATAAATATTTTTATTATTCGACCAGATGATCTTAGCTGCGACATTGTCTGTGCGCACCTAAATGAAGGCTAGCACTGAGTTGTGTCCTGTGAAGATTTTTAAGGGCCTTCAAAAGCCAGTCGTGACATTACAGAGGAGATCGGCAGCCCTGACTTCCAGCTGCCTCTTCAGCATCCCAATAGCTCTCAATCACTAACCCCCATGGGAATCACCCAAAGAGCTTCTTAAAGCAACGTTTTTGGTCCCCCATTCCCCAAAGATCTAATTCAGTAGGTTGGGGCAGGACCCAAGAATAGGCATTTCTAATAAGCACATAGGTTATATTCATTGTGTTTCAAAAAGAAAACAATACAAAATCAAAAAGGCCAAAGATGTTCAAGAAATCTCAGAGGTTCTAGATATGCCTGGAAAGGGGTAAAATGAAGCAGCTTAGAGCTGTTTCCTAGGGTCTGACACAACATTGTTAATATTTGAATTTCTTTTGGAAAGGTAATCATGAAATAATGAATCTGAATCTTGGGCTCAGATGATATCAATGCTTCTGGCTTGAAGACAATACACTGAAAATTAGGTTCTAACCTAAATTTCTTGTTTCTCTAAGGAGTGCCTTTCAGTCATATCCACTCTTCTAAATACTAAGTTCCCTCCAACATTCTTCCGTGGGAATTAGAAAGATAGCGGCTAATTTGGCCAATTGGGATTGCTCACGTTTCACAGAAATCATCTCTGTGGAGACTTCTGCCTGAGGCTGTGACAGGAGCTTGGAGGAGACCAAATAGATCTGCAGATGTAGTTAGCATGGGAGAGGAGGAGGGGGAGGGGAAGAGAGGAGCAGAGAGAGGGAGGAGCAGGGAGAACTGCTAAGAAGATGTGAGTAGTTAAACGTTTTTTGTTTTTGTTTCTTTCCTGAAGACATGGGGGACTCATTTGGGTGAGCCTAACCTTTCTCGCTAAGCACTCTGCTAGTTCATATGCCATGTCGAAGGGTGCGGATTCCCGTTAGAAGGCCAGACAAAAAGTGTTGACTAAATAGACCGTGGTACACTCGGACAGACCTGGGAGGATGAAACTCAGACTTCAGGGCTAACAAGGCAGCTAGGTCTCAAATTTGGGTCCCCAAGGGAAGGGAAGCATGGAGAAACAGCACAATAATACTGTTTTGCTCTTTGAAGTGTTCCCAAAGGCCTAAATGATACCAGTGAAATACAAAGTAATTACCCAGAATATATGAAGTTAAGCAAAGTTTTTGAAAGCATTACTTTTTTTTGAGAGAGAGAGACAAAAACTGAGTTCACAGATATCAAGGAGAAGAGCCCTGATACACCACTCACGTCCTAACCCTTGGATTCCTGGAAACTTCTATCCCAGGAGAAGGGAGAAGCCAGAATTGGGTCAGCCTTTCTCAACTCTGACATCCAGCCTCACATCAATTCAGCCCCTGAATGGATTAAAGTGGCTTAAGGTGGTTCACACTAAACTCTATACCGATAAAAACTAAAGTAAATATTCTTTGGATGAAAAAAATAACTAAAAATGCTAAGGGCTCTACCTAAGTTTCTTCATATTGAATGTTGAGTAGTTCATTAAAAAAGAAGCATCCCAAATTGGCAAAAAAAAACAGGAGAAAAAGAGGGAAAATAACAAACACGATCAGCAATTGTCTGAGATACCGGCTTCACCAAAATTGACCTTTAAAACAACGATGATGACTATGTTCTTGAATATAAGATCAAAAAGTTAATGCCAGGATCGTAATTAGTAGTAGCTATCAAACAGATGCTGTAGATATGAAACTAGGATCATCAAAACTAGGATCATCAAAAGCAGATGGAACTCCGGTGAGCAGCGATCAGTTCACTGGGGGAAAGGACAGTAGGAACTAGCGCAGTTGTTGCATGCAGAGGAAAGGGAAGGGGCACCGAGCAAAGAATAATGCGGCAAACGGTAAAACGTAATAACACAGTTGATAGTTAAAGTCTCATTCAGGAGAGAGAGATAAGTAGCCAAGCCTATTTTGAGAGAGATACTGGCTGAGGATTTTCAAACTGATAAAAGATATCAACACACACATTCAAAAGAATCAACAAGCTGCACGGAGAGTAAATACAAAGAAAATGCACTAAAAAGTGCATCATATTCAAACTACTGAAATCTAAAGGCATGGGGAAATGTGAAAAACTGCCCAGAAAAAGGAAAAGAGGAACAATATCTTTGATGTACGAGGGGTGGGGACAGAAAACCTCTATTATTCCAGATAGACTAGAGAAACACATTTGTAGAGACATATGTGTATAAGAAAGAGATTAATATAAAGAGTAGTTGTACATTAAGAAAACATCCCAGCCCAGTCCAGATCACGTCCATAAGTCCAATATTAGCCCATATATCCAATACCAATCTATAAATTCCTCTTCAGACTCACGAAACACATGCAATGATGCCGAATGCAGGAAAATCACAGGCCAGTGGGTGGAAAGTCTTGTGGACCCACTGGCATAAGCATCTCAGCACTGGCAGGGGTCTCCACATGGCTTCTCCAGCTCAGGGCACTAGCCTAGCTCCATGTGGTGTGTCAACTGCCGTGTCCCCCAGGGTGTGAACCTTTGTCCATAGAGAATCTCCAAGAGAGTGAGAGTGTGTCCCGCCTCCAGCGAGCTATTTATCTCCTTAGCGCCTCCAAATGAGGTCATCAAGCTGCGACCTGATTGACAGGCTAAACTCCATCCATTCACTCCTAAGTCTCAAATGGACAACAGATTATATAACTACCACAAAACCATTGAGGTAAAATAATAAGTTTTTTTCAGATTAACAAAGGCACAGAGGAGTCATAGGCGATTTCTAGACAGAGACATACTAAAGGACATTCTTCTGACAGAAGTAAATTGATCCCAAACAGTAGCACCGGAATAATGGGGGGGGATGAGCAGGATAGACATATGTGGGCAAATAGATCAAAGCTCTGCTGAGCAATAATCCCTGTCGGCTGCTCATCCAAGGACTAGGGGTTTGAACTCACCAGCCCCTCTCTTCCTAGTATCCGAGACCTGGCTATCCGCCTCCAGAAAGATTACAGGCTCGTAAGCCCAGTGGGCTGGTTCTACGCTCATATAAAGTCACTCTGAGCTGGAATCAGATTAAAGGTATACAAAAACAAAATGCTCTAAGGTCTATGAAATGTCTGCAAATGGGTAAAAGTACTTATTTATTTTAAAAACAACCAAAAACCCTGAATGAACAAATAAACCATTGCCATCAAGGTGATTCTGACTCATAGCAACCCTAAAGTATAGAGTAGAGCGGCTCAGGGTTTCCCAAATATACAGATGTACAATTTTGCTTGGTGAAAGCTAAGATTAAAGCACTTACCAATGAAGACTGCAACCTTCGCTACAGATTACACCTCCAAAGAAAGAAATCAGAAACCCTCACAGCAGGGCCAGTTATGCACCATCATGCTAAATGGAGAAAACATTGAAGTTGTCAAGGGTTTTATTTTACCTAGATCCACAAGCAATGTCCAAAGAGGCAGCACTCAGAAAACACGCTGACACATGATGACATTGGGAAAATCTGGTGCAAAAACCCTCTCTAATGGCTTAAAAAGCAAAGGTGTAATTTTGAGAGCTAACGTGCCCTTATCCCAAGCCACAGTATCTTCTCATCTGCAAGGGAAACTGGACAATCAATAAGGAAGACTGCCGACAAGTTGATGCCTTTGAATTACAGTGTTGGAGAGGAACACTCAGTCTATCCTAGACTACCAGAAGGATGAAGGACCATCAAACAAGGATGGTCAGGTGTCCCTGCGGAGCAGGGCTGCAACTTCATCTCCCCTGGAAAAGGTCGTCGTGTCTGGCAAAGTAGAGAGTCCGCGACAATGATGAAGATCCTCAGGCAGACAGACGGATCTGCACATTTTCCCCAGCATGGGCTGACGCACAGGAATGGTGGTGAGGAGGGGGACAGGCTGGGCAGTGCTTTGTTCTGTTGTCACAGGGTCACTGTAAGTTGGAACCAACCCGATGACATCTAACAACAAAAGCAACCTTGTTTATGGAGGCGAACTCTCACATCGTTATCCGGTGGAGAACGTCTCATTAGCAGCGAAGTGCTTTGACCCCCGTGCCACTTGCTCCCATTAGACACCAAAATGCGCTGAATGTCTGTTGTACTATTCAGAGGAAGAGGAAAAGAATGGCCCACTATCAAGCTGTTGGTAGGGGAATGTGAATGATATTTTATAGGCTTGGTTAATAAAAAAAACAAACACAAAAAAGAACAGGGAAAAATAATACAGGTGAAGCTACTGGGA